CCTGTAAACCTTCCACTGCACCTCTCAACTCTGCCTGGGTGATAGTGCACGCACCCAGGTTCAAAGTGAACGCTGAAAGACAACGTCCTGTATGATCTCAGATAAGGCCACAAGCAGCGCCGAGGCCTGTCTCAGGAAGGACGGAGCCGTCGGAGTTGAGGCAAACCCACTCAGGAGGAGGCGGCTTCCAAGAGATATGCTCCTCCGTTCTAGCAGGCGGACAAGGCTTATGGATGAGCCTGTCCTTATCCAGGGCATTCCTCAGAGATCGTCTATTTGATATTGTTTATAGTTTCATTAAGGCTAAATTACATGTTTGGTCACTCAAATTGCATAAATATTTCATATTTGCACCCAAATTACTTTTCTTTCTTATTCGCCATTAACTTTACGAATCATTTCACCGTTAGTCACCGACCGTTAGTCTCCGTCAGACTCCGTTAACTCCGTCAGTTTTTTGATGACGTGGCAAACAAAATTACTGACTGGACCGTTAAATTAATGACATGTCAATTTAAAAAAATAAAAAAAATTAATTAACATCTATAACCACTCAATCACGTCAGCTGCACAATCAGACTAGTTCCCTTTCGCCAACGCTGCCTTCTCCTTCTTCATCGTCGCACTCGTGTTATCCCCTACATTCACCACCTCAATCCTCCATGAACTTCAGGGATCTCTAAAATTGCCTCAATCGGAACCTTTCCCACCATCTTCGATTCACTGAGAACCTTCATAGCGGAGGTCTGAATCCGAATTCAGGGCATCGACTATCTAATTGGGGAGGGTGGGGCGGATGTTCGTAGGATTGGGATGGCGGAGGAGCTTGTTGACCAGAACGACGAGGGGAGTTGCGGGATTCGATCGAGGTTAGGGTTTCAGAGATGGGGATTGGACATCTTTTCATAGATGAAATAGGATTGGGATGGCGGAGGAGCTTGTTGACCAAAACGACGAGGGAGGTGCGGGATTCGATCGCAGTTAGGGTTTCGGATATGGGGGATTCGACATTTTTCACGGATGAAAACAGCGACCATTGCGCTATATTAAGTGACTACCCGCAAGAGTCATCACGTTGGACGACCCGAAATGGAGGAGTTCCGCCGGACTGGTGGAATGATGGTGGCGGTGGTGGTTTCGGTGAGGGTGTCTAAGTCTCTGCGAAGTATTTTGGCATAGCTAGCGAGATGCAGAGGGGAGGAGGAGTTGGAATGTTAATTTATTATTTTTTATTATTTTTCAAATTGACATGTCATTGAATTAACAATCTAGTCAGCAGTTCTGTTTGCCAAGTCATTAAAAAATTAACGGAGACTAACAGACAGTGACTAATGGTGAAATGATTCATAAAGTTAGTGGAGAATATGAAAGAAAAGTAATTTGGGTGGCAAACGTGAAATATTTATTTAATTTGAGTGACCAAACGTGTAATTTAGTCGTTTCATTAATTAGTATTGTTCTTGCGAGAGTAATCCTGTCCTCCTATCAATGCCACCATCTCCTCCACTGTCTTCAGTCTTCACGCAGCTGCTGCCGCGAGGTCACTCACCCCCTCTTCCTTTCCTTATCTCCTTTTTTTTTTTCAAATTTGTGATTTTTCATATTCCGTATCTGATTTTTTTTATGATAATCTCTAGTGGTAGTAATTTTCATCTGGTAGCGTACCGCTACCTCTACTTACTAGTAGCGTTACAATTGGTAGTGGTAGCGTACCACTAGACAAAAATCACTACCACTAGCGCATTGATGAAGTGGTACTTGTTTGCAGGTGTCCGGAGCGAGTCTAATTGAAAGGAGAACGGATACGGTGCTAATTGTACAATAGTTAGCACCGTCCTAACCAAGGGGAAAACTATTACTAGTTTGAATTAGTAGTGATTTAGCTTAGATGTTGTATTGATTTTATAATAATCCGTAGTGATTTCGTTATTTTTAGTAGTGTTTTTTGCTAGTTATCATGGTGCTAACCCTTAATCCCATCCCAATTGAAAGATATTACCGGAGAAATTCAGCCGGTCGGAGTGGAGTGGCTGCTGGAAAAGGAAGAGAGAGAAATGTTTTGTGTAGGATTTAAATTTTAAAATAAAGCAATGTATTTAATATTGGATTTAAATCCCCAAAATATAATTAATACAAAAAGAAAAGTAATTAATAATATTCTTTTTGGACTATCCAAATTGCCCTTGGTTGTGACCATATCTGACACCTCATCTAGGCTAAGAGAAAACAGAGGAGAAAGTAATGGTAAAATTTAGGGTTAATATTTTTATCTAGCTCAAACTTTTCTCATATTTAACATCCTCACCAATTCTTTTGGTATTTAACACCGTGACCCAAACTAACTCTATAGTCTATAGTTTACTGATTTATCAAACCAAAGAGATGACCGTTAGTTTTGATGGTCAAGGTCGTGGATTAACGGTCAACCCGCCACGCCATTTCCCAGTCAACATAAATAACTTAAAAAATTCCTAAATTCCACATAATTCCTAAAAGTTATCATAATTAAATTAAAAATCAAAACAAAAATTGAATTTTTTTTAGAAATATATTATGTGGAATTTAGTTTTCTTAATTTATATTTTTAAATTATTGTTTTATTAATTTAATTATAATAATTTTTAGGGAATTTATGAAATTTAAGAGTTTTTTAAGTTTATTTATACTGATTGGGCAATGACGTAGTGGGTTGACCATTAATCAATAACCTTGACCATCAAAACTAACGGTCAACTCTCGGATTTGACCAAAAAATTAATGTTAAATACCAAAAGAATTGACAAGAATGTCAAATGTGGAAAAAGTTCGATTCAGACAAATATATGGACCGGACGCCACAAATCAATATTCATGGGTCGTTTGGATGGAGGATTTGTATGAGTTATTTGGGTTCAAATAACTCACAATGAGTTATTTGGACAGTGAGTTATTTACAAATAACTCAAAATGAGTTATTTGAAATAACTTATACTCATGTGTTATTTCGAAACAACTCGGTTTATCACTCCGCTTTTACCAAATACCACATGTCAAATACCACATCTGCATGGTTCAACCAAACGAGATACTTTATTTCAAGGGTTAATACCTTAGTTTGGCCCGAACTATAGACAAACATTCTACTTTGGCCCGTGGTATTGGAAATTGCTATTCTGGCCTGAACTATGTAGCATACTTCTTTATTTGGCCCGGAAGCGGGTTTGACTGTCAAATTATACGGTCAACCGAGTTGACCGTTAGTCAAGATCCAGCTCACTTGCCAAATCAGCTAGCAGGGAATAAAAATTTTATTTTTTTTAATTAGTGTATTTTTACTTTCTAATAATAACAATAATAAACAAAAAAATTCATTTTTTACTTTCTTATTCGTTTGTTTATTATTTTATTATCACGTGTAACAAAAAAAATTCATAAAACTAACAAACAAAATAATAAACAAAAGAAAACGCAAGAATCCTTTATCTTCTCCGATACTCTCCTCACGGATCTGCCTTCCTTCTGCTTCCCATCGCCACCTTCCATTTCCATTCCAACTAACCATTTAGCAGACAATGTTTCTGCTTCCCATCGGCAACTTCCCTTCATAACTCTTACAATTGATATCTCCAAATGCTTTTGTCATCCAAATCAATTTACACGATTCAGCAACCCAAATCCCTAACCCACCAAAAACGCATTCAAACGGAGGAGATGAGCGACACTGAAATCGTTTCAGTACCCATACATGACTATGGTGGCGACGACCAATCTCGCCGATAATGATAAACATCAGCTTTGCGGCGCGCGTGTGGAGACTTTGACGAGTTCATCCTCGTCCTCCTCCAGCTCAAAATCGACTGCCTCTGTGGTCGCTCTCTCCCTCCCAATAATCAACAATAGTAGGGGGTTTCAATCGACGTAAAGGTTTGATGAGGGTTGGGGGTTTTTGGAGAGATGAATCCCGCCATGATGAGCGGTGGCGAAGGTTTAGAGGGGCAGAGTGAGGGGGGAGAGAGTGAGCAAGGGGAAAGGGGATAGGGTTTCGGAGAAGAAGATGGGTTTGGAAGGGGGCCAGAATTTTTTTCCCATCAAGGTGAGAGGAGGGAGAGTATCAATTGGATTTTTTTAATTAATATTTTTTGTTTATTATTTTTATTATTAGAAAGTAAAAATACATATTAAAAATGAATTTTTTATTCCTTGCTAGCTGACGTGGCAAGTGAGTTGGATCTTGACTAACGGCCAACTCGGTTGACCGTCTAATTTGACGGTCAAACCCGCCTCCGGGCCAAATAAGGAAATATGCCACATAGTTCAAGCCAGAATAGCAATTTCCGTTACCACGGGCCAAAATAGAAAGTTTGTCTATAGTTCAGGCCAAACTAAGGTATTAACCCTTATTTCAATTACCACTAAAATAATACTGAAATACCACATGAGCAATAAATAAATTATTTAACTCTACAAATACAACATTGACAATTAACCCATCCAAACACCATTCTTTCTAGGCCAAATTCACTTGCATAGCCAAAACTTTGACGATTGTGACAAATATAGCCAATTTTGGAGAAATACCAGAAATAGCCAGATTTTTGAAAGTTCGATGACAAATATAGCCATTTCCGTTACATAATTTGACGGCGTCAATGACACCGTTAGTCTATTTAACGGACAGTTGATGTGGCTGCCACCTCATCGTGTCTTTCCTTCCCACCTCAGCATCCATTGACAGGTGGGATGCCACGTCACATTAAAATTTTAATTTTTTAACAAATTATTTTTTAAAATTTTTTATTTCATATTCTTTCCCCTGACTTCATCTTCACCAACAAAACCTCTCTCCCACTCCTCTGTCTTTTTCTCCCCTCTGGTCCAACCTCTCTCTCTATCTATCTCACCCTTTCATTCACCCAAGCCCTCTAACCATCATCTTCAACCTCCGACCAGTAAATCCAGAAAATGATGCCTCCTCAAAATGACCCAATTCAAAACCTGGAATCCAACCATAGGATCTCACCGATAGAATCGATTCCACTCTGGGTCCTCTCTCGGCTCTACCCATCTTCTTCCTCTGTCTCAGACACCGATAAAATTAATGTCTTCCACGCCTTCATCTACCTTTTCCTTCTTTCCAGCTTCGCAAGAATCGATCTCAATCTTCTCCCTGAAACCCTCCACCTTCTTCCTTTTCTCTTCTTTCCACAAGATGTACATCCAATCTTCTCATCGAAACTCCTCCGCCATCACTCCAGATCGACGACAACACTCATCGACGAACACACCCATCCAGCCGATCCACCCCTCCATCGAGTCACCCCTCAATCCAGTCCGGCTCGTCTCCCCGATTCACTCCTCCATCTCCGTTCCGGCTTCGACAAAGGCAACCATGCATCATCTTGCTGGCGGCAAAGACAACCGCTCATCCTCTTCTCTCCTCTTCTCGCTCTGGCACGGCATGGCGGCTTCTGACGATGCTGGTCTGTGGGAGAGTTAGGGATTTATGGATTTTGGGATTTGGGTCGCTTGATCTGCCATCTGGGTCGCACCACTAAGAACGACGACATCTTTGGGGCTTCTTGGCTTTATCATCGTCTCCTCTGTCTCAGACTCACAGATCGAGGAAGGAAGGCCGATCTGGAGAGTTAGGGATTTATGGGTTTTTGGATATTTGATTGTATGATTTTGGGGGTTTGATATGAAAATGGTAGGAAGAGATGGCGACGATTTTGTTTCTGAATTTTTTGGGTTTATGTTTTCTGGGCATAAAAGAGGCGGTCAAGATTTGAGGCAAAAACTACTTTTCACGGCAGCTGCCGATAGTGGGGGTCGGGGGAGGTCGTCGAGAGAGAAGAAGGAGAGAACGAAGAGTGACGAGGGGACTAGGGTTGAGCACTTAATTGTTTGTTTAAGATGAACAGGCGGTGGTGGTGGGGAGAAAGACATTTATTTTTTTATTGTTTTTATGATTTTTTAAATTTAATTTGATAAAAAATAGAAGTATAAAATTTTAATTATTTTCCACCTAACATTATATTTTAATAAAATATGCCACGTCAACCACTGATGTTAGTCTAGTCAGCACGCTAACTAACACCGTCAAACAATTAGACGGAAGTGGCTATTTTTGGTATTTCGTCAAAAGTGGCTATATTTGGCAAAACCGTCAAACTTTTGGCTATACAAGTGTATTTGGCCTTCTTTCTAGAGGAATTTTACAATGCTATATAGTATTGGTGCTATAGGTTTTTATCTTTATGGTACAACTTGAAATTGTACTTTTAATGTTATGGTACAACTTCAGATTGTACATATACTTTTTGTACAAATTCATTTATGGTACAACTTAAACTTGTACCTTATGTGATGGTACAACTTCAAGTTGTAAAGTTGTACCATAACATAATGATACAAATTGCTTTATGGTACAACCTAAACTTGTACATTTAATATTATGGTACAACTTCAAGTGGTATATTAAAGCACCAATACTATATAGCATAGTAGAATTGCTCTTCTTTCTATTCTTTCTTTCCTCCACTTATGAAGCCCTTCTTTCCTCTCACCTACCTCCCCCACCAATTCTTATAATTCCCCATTCGGCCATCCCCTTTCGGCCTTTCCTAGTCTTCGCCACCATACATATTTAAAAAAAAAAAAAACAGAGTCTCTGGACTCTGGCTACCAACCTTGTATTGTTTTTGTACATTCCCCTTTGGCTTTTCCCCTTCCCCTGCCTCACCCATCGTCGATGGCGGATAATTCCCTGGCGCCTTCCTACTCACCAAATTCTTCATGTTTCTTGCGTTCACGTCCGAATTTAATTACTCTAGCAGGGAGAACGAGTATCAATTTGAGATTACGTAGACCCATCCCGTCCATTAAATGGGAGAATACAACGATTACTGGTCATGACGTGGCGGAGAGGCAGATAGGCGGCGGAAGGAGGCGGTGGTACTGGTCGGTTAGGTGCGCGGCGGAAGGGATGGAGAGGGGGATGCTTATGGGAGGAAGAGAAGCCGCCGCCGGTGAGATTGCCGGAGCGTTGTCGACGGTGCCGGAGAGGTATACGGTGGTGGCTCTAACGGCGTTAGTGATGTGCCTCTGCAATGCTGACCGGATCGTAATGTCAGTCGCCGTCGTGCCTCTCGCCGCCAAGTTCGGCTGGTCCAGCTCCTTCTTGGGAATTGTCCAGGTAACACCGCTTTCTCATCACGCAAACAGTCACTAAGTTTCACATTAATAATCAAAATGGTTACCAAATTTTTTATTTCTGACAAACCTACTTTCATCTTGGACGAAATAACATCTAAATCTAAATCTGATCTGAATCTAAAGAATTTATTATAATATTTTTGGCAAAAGAAAAATCTAAAAAATTTATTATAGACTTTCTATATTATTTTTATAATCATTTAAAAAACGTATGAAAAGCAACTGGATCATTTCTTCCCACCTCTTTTAGTTGTAACGGCCTATTAAACTATAATTGCTGCACTTTATCTTTTCTAACACTTGGGGCGGTGGGTGTAAACTCACCATTAATCAAACTCTACGCTAAACAAAATTTCCCATCCTGGATTTCTGAAATATTTTTTGGAAGATTTGTAATCCAAGATTTAGAGTAGAATATAATAAAATAATTTAAAATGGAGTGACTGACCATAAAACTTTGATATGGTTGATGTCAGGGTCGTAAAGCCACGTTCTATAAACAAGTGTGGCCTATTATTCAATCAATAAATAAAATTATTACAACAATATTATTAAAAGAATTTAAATAGTAAATAAATTCAAAATTAATTAATTAACTAGAATCATCTCAATATGTTATGAGAAATTAATTGAGTCACAGAGGAAAATAGAAGAACCAAAGAGTAAAAACAAAGAATTAAAGAGAAAAAGTGATAAGTTTTTAGTCTAAAGTTAAGTATATTACGAACTATTTACAATTGATTTACTTTTTCTTTTTATTGTTGTTGCTTTGTTCCTTGTTGTTGTTAACGTTAATAATAAGAGACATAAACAGTCTTTTTTTTTTTACAAAAACATAAACAGTCTTACTTCTCTTTTTTTCTTCTTCTAGAAAAACAGGAAAAAGGATGTACTTTCTTATATGTTTTGGAAAAAAGTCTAATAAGAAACAAATCTTCCATCTCATGTGGTCCATTCATTCTTTCAGACTTTGAATTTAATTGTTTTTGGTATTAGATATATAGTCAAAGCCAAATATATTAATTTTCTATTTTTAAATTTATAATTCAGACCCAATACTCCTAAAAATATTTAATATTATACACGATGAGAACCTAAAATTCAGGCCATGTGTCGAAGGGTCTCCTCGCACACCCATAGGAGCAGCTCTGGTTGATGCGACAAAGGTTTAGTTTTAAACCTCATATACTTCTAAAATAAATAGACGTGTAGAAGTCATACTTAACTTGAACCAAATACATAATGAGATATTAATTCCTTCTCAAAATTGAATCAATTTTTGTGAGGATTTTGGTCTTAGTTGAGAATTAGATATTATCATAAGTACAATAATTTCAAGGAATAGGTATAAACGAAACAGAAGCTCAAAAGTTGTTGGAGATCAATAGGAGATTAATAAATGAGTACAAAATCAAGTAGTAGAAAATATGAATTCATTGGTCATTCATAGCTAACTACCCTGATAAAGCAACGTGTATAAAGTTCTTATGTTAGTTTTCAAAATTTATTGATTGAGAACGCAACATCTTAAGTGGAAATTTCATTGATATTGTCTCAAAATTTATATGAAACTATTATGGGTCTCATAATAATATTATGTATTAGAAGCACAAGATTTTCATTCTATATAAATTCAATCAACATAAAATATTAACTAGCTGAATTTTTTAATTATGTTGTTAAATAATTATTAATAATAAAACTATAAAGTCGTTGGGCAGGTCACAAAGCTAGTATTAATAGTAATTTTGTTTGTTCTCCTGCATATTTCCCTCCAAACTACCCGTTCAAAAGTTTCAACATAAAAAAAAACCTAATTAAAAAGAAAACATTAATCAAAAGATCCAACAATAACTCTAGTTATTGGGACCAACTAGTTTATGACATGATATTAGAGTCTGGTTTGATCAAAGTGGTCATGTGTTCGAATCTCCACGACCCCCAATATTAACAGTTGATTAAAGCACTGGTGGGTCTGTCAAACTTCAAGCCCGTGAGCTGGATTTCGTTTGAGAGGGCATATTAGATAATACTATAAGATCCGACATAACATTCTGCTAATAATTCGAGTTATTGGAACCAACTGGTTTATGACAGCTTGTCATCTTTCGACCAACCCTTCCATTGGGTTATTGATTGAGTTAAATTGTTTGATGTCCACAGTCATCGTTTCTATGGGGTTATATATTCTCATCGCTAATTGGAGGAGCATTAGTGGACAAATACGGAGGGAAGAAAGTGTTGGGTTGGGGAGTCGCCTTATGGTCTTTAGCCACCGTCCTAACTCCATGGGCCGCCAATCATTCGACCCTCAGTCTTTTAGCAGTTCGAGCCTTCTTCGGGCTTTCCGAAGGCGTCGCTCTTCCTTCCATGACCACCCTCTTGTCCAGGTAACATGATTATAAAAAAAAAATTTGGGGGCTTGAATCTTATTATCTGCTGCTCATTCTGATTGTGTCGGATTGTCGTAGGTGGTCTCCGAGCAATGAACGCGCGACTGCCGTTGGGATCTCAATGGCTGGGTTTCATCTCGGCAATGTTGTAGGGCTACTGCTAACTCCCATTATGTTGTCCACTGTTGGAATCTCTGGCCCTTTTGTTCTGTTCTCGTCTCTAGGGTTGGTTTGGGTAGCAACATGGGCGGGTCGGGTAACCAATGACCCGAAAGATAGTCGTTTCATGAGTAGGACAGAGTTGAAGCTGATCCAAGTTGGTAAAATCAACTCATCAGCCGACAGTAGCACTAGCAGCAGCCAACGTCCATCACTGGGCCAGTTGCTGTCAAAGTTGCCCTCATGGGCAATCATCTTTGCCAATGTGACCAACAATTGGGTTAGTTTCACGAATAAGATGATTAGTACGAATCTGTGTTCCAAATAGCTAGTTTGTTTAATTCATAAGAGCTCTGCCTTTTGACATTGTCTTACATTATGTCACAGGGATACTTTGTTCTTCTCTCATGGATGCCTGTCTACTTCAAGACGGTTAGTACTTAGTCATTCACTCTTCATTCTACATTGACCTATAATCAGTCCATTCATGTTTGGCGTCTATGGGTATGAGTGGACGAACGTTGGACATTGTTTGAGTTGGGTTTTGGCATTTGCAGGTGTTCAACGTGAACCTAAAGCAAGCTGCTTGGTTCAGTGCTGTTCCATGGGGGACCATGGCATTTTCGGGCTACCTGGCAGGAGCAGCGTCAGATCGACTTATCAAAGTTGGGTATTCTGTAACTTTAGTTAGGAAAATCATGCAGGTGATTATCTCAACTCATCTAGAAAGAAGGTTTTGGAATGAAAGAGATCTAGAAGGAGAGCTTATTATATTAGATATTGATTGATTATGCGATATGTTTGTTTATTTTTCACACAGTCAATTGGTTTCATTGGACCTGGCTTAGCACTTCTTTGCCTCAACTATGCCAATACACCAACCACTGCATCTGTCTTCATCACAGCTGCCCTTAGCTTGAGCTCTTTCAGCCAAGCCGGTTTTCTACTCAACATCCAAGTAAGGTTTTCGTGATGGTTTCGATTAGACTTGTTCACAGTTAAAATTGTATTTACGTTGGTGACAAACTGAAACTTCATTTGATCAGGACATAGCACCGGGATGTGCAGGGTTTCTTCATGGTGAGTTTCTATTCTATTCTTAACGATTGCCTGACTTTGTTTTAGAAAACTCTATTTATGGCTTATATTGAGGATAAAGGCTCATTAAGGAATTATTGCAGGAATCTGCAACTCAGCTGGAACATTGGCAGCAATAGTGAGCACCATTGGGACAGGGTATTTTGTGCAGTGGTTGGGATCTTTCCAGGCATTCCTCACGGTTACAGCAGGGTTATACTTTGTTACTGCTTTATTTTATAATTTATATGCTACAGGAGAACAAGTGTTCTAATCACAAATGAGAATATTAAAAAAAAATTAGAGGAGGAAAAAAGAAAGAGAAGGTTATGGTTACATGTAAAATGTACAGAAATTAGCCAATTCTTTCATTATTATTCATAACAAATTGAAATTAAAATATCTATGAGACAACTTTTTTATATTAACATCGGGTGGTGTTTGTATGATGTCTTGGGTATCTATATGTGTGTTGGCTAATGAAAGAAAAATGAAGAAATTATTATCTTATTAGATAAAGAAAACGTTAATTATCCTCATTTTAGTGATGATTTGGCGAGAAAGCTTGAAACCTAACTCGGTAGAAGGTTTGGGTTTGAGAGAAGTAAAAAGAAGATAGTAGCCGACACAACTAGAATTGTGAAAATTTCACAGTATGTCATTCCTCTTTGGTTTCTGTCACATATATATACAATTAAATTAGGACGGTTAGTCGGTCGGTTTTGGTTTAACCAAAAATCAGAAAGTTGGTTTTTGGTTAAACCGAGCGACCCCTAGCATTACCAAACACCGACCGGCACCGTCTAACCGATTGGTCAGTTATTGATTACAACCGTGGTTAGCCGAATTAAATAAGAAAATTAATTAAATAAATAAATAGAAGAAAAGAAACCACTTCACACGTTTCCGTCTTTATCTTCTTCTTCTCTCCACACCCAAAAAAAAGCGAACGTCTTTTCTTCTCCCCTCTCTCTGCCTTGCCTCCGCTACCCTCCAAGCCTCTTCTTCTCTCCTCTCTCTCCCAGCCAAAACCAATTGCTTTTTTTCCCTTTTCTTAACCAAACTTAATTCCCCTCTCTCTCCGTTGTTCTTCTCTTAACTCATGGACAAAGACCATTTTTTTCTCCTTCTCTCTTTTGCGGCCGCAGTTCATCTGCTCGGGGATGGCGACGACGGATGGACGGGGAAGAGGAAGGACGGAGGCGGGGGCGGGGGCGCGAGGCGACGCGATGAGGAAGGGATCTGGGCGGCGGCGAGGAAGGGATCTGGACGGGTGCGACGTGACGAGGAAGGATCTGCATGGCGGCGAGAAACGGAGGAAGGCGGCGGTCGTGAGGCGACGAGGAAGGGAGAAGGGCGGCGGCCGTGAGGGTTAGGGTGAGGGTCTGAGGGGATTATAGGGTTTCAGAGTGGGGTTAAGGGTTTTATCTGTCTTTTTTTTAGGGAGGGCAATATATGAGGGTTGGTCGGTTTGGGTCATTTTTATGGATAACCGCGGTTAATAATCTACGGTTACTCGGTTATCCGAAACTTCTTATTCTCCTCTGAGCACCGACCGAAGTAACTTGGCCTCGGTTTTCGATTAGCCGAAAACCGGTTGGTTCGATTGTAACCGACGGTTATCCGCTAACCCGAAATCGAACTGCCAGCCCTAAATTAAACTGTAAATTGGTTTACATGATGGTAGCCAAATTATAATATTAAACTAACCAATTGTTAGATGCCAAGTGACAATGAGACTTGTTAGTTACAAATAAGTATCACTAATCTAGTACAGTTTCGTTCTTCCTTGCAGTTACTAATACCACTTAAACCAAACACGAAGCGGTTCGATGCATCTCTGTCATACTAGTTCGGACTGAAATGAAGCTCTATCAAGTTCTTCTCAGTTCTTCATATGCTCTTCAACTAATCAACATTCTCAATTTTGACTTGATGGAGAATTAACAATCTTGATTTCATTCTCTCACGAATTACATGACAATCCACATTAATATGCTTTGTGCGTTTGTGAAAGATTAGAATCTCATCACTGACTTCAACAATTGTATTTCATAGGATATTTGTGCTACTTCCTAATATTATCCTTCTGAAGAAGAGTGAGTCATTATTGTTTGCTTCTTACTCTTCCATGTAATCAAAGAACTACTTAGGAAAATATAATATCTTGTCACTCAACTTCCTCGTATCGGGACAGGTAGCCAATATGAGTCATTGCAACCTCTCAAAGTGAGTGTGGATTTGGAAGAGAACCAAAAGCCTTGATTTAGACTCCTCTTTAGGTATCTCAAAATACGATGCAATCCCCTTTTGATGAGTAGTAGTAGGGTTATCCTAGAACTGATATAACTATTGCAAATTAAGGGTTCGTTTGGTAGTTGTGATTGTTAGAGTTGTGTTTATTGAATACATGCATTGTGCATAATACAATGTTTGGAAGTGCCAAAGTGTAAAACAATGCATGTATTGTTTTAGGTAGGTCCCACAAACAATCACAAAAAATGATGCATTATACAATCTCAACTAAAACTTGAGATTATTGTGATTGTTGATTTTAGATTTGTGTCCACTTTGTCTTTCCATTTCTATCCCTACTAATTTTTGTCTTATACTAAAAGTTGAGGGTAAATGTGATATTTTCCCATAAAGTAACTTTATGCAAGTCAATACATCAAGTAGAATCTCATCAACCAAACAATGTATTATTGTAATGCATCCATTGTACCAATTCATATATTTACATTATTGTGATTCATTACAATGCAACAATTTAACATTCGCAACTTCCAAACGACCCCTAAATGTTATATCAGATTTGGCAGAGTGGGATATTGTAGCTGGTGATAATGTGATCCATCCACAATTGAAATTCCATTTATTGATGAAATTACCTATGTTGCAATAATCGGAACATAGTATTCTACCAAAAAAATCTGACCATAACATGTATAGTAAAAGGTTCCATTTTACTGGTTTAACCACTAATAAGCCGTCAAAACCGTTAATGAACTGATGCCTTACAAATAAAAAATATTACAAAATATCTATTAAAATTTTATTTTTATCTTTTAACTCCTAAAATAATTCATAACTAATTAATTGGTCAAAGTAATTTTTCTTGGTGAGAGATGGTCTATGAAAATCGAATATTTCTTTTTTGTTGTTTGAAAATTTTTGAAATCAAAAGTAGCCTTGATCAGTATATTGATGCACTGGTTGGAGGTCCATATTTATTTATTTATTGTCAGTTTTATGAATGGGTCGAATGATGATAGTAGCAGAAGTGCTATGTTTGATGCGATTCGGTCACATAATCACATTACTCAGATTCCTTGGCTCATCTCAAGGGACTTTAATGTGATTACAGATCCCAAAGAAGCTTCAAACTGTCATGAGTTTACTGTTAGTATGCCAGATTTTAAACAATGGTTGGTTGATTTGGAATTGAAAGTGCACGTTGCAAAGGGCCATGATTCATGTGGATTAATAAGCAGGCTACAAACCATTGTTTAAACTTTTGTTGGCTAGATAAAAGGCCTAGAAATGAAGTGACATTGTTTGAGCCTCTTATTTCTAATCATTGCTCTATCTTGGTGACTATAGATGCTGATATGAAGTATCTCCCTTAACCATTTAAATTCTTTCGATTTTGGGCACATCATCCACAATTTATGAGCTTGGTTAAAGAGGCATGGAAGAAAATAATAATAATAATAATAATAATAATAATAGGTCCCTTTTGGTTATGGTATGCAAGAAATTTAGGCTCTTAAAGGGTCATCTTCAAAAGTTAAATAGGGAAGCGTGTTTGGATATACAATTGCAAGTTAAAATGAAGGAGCAAGAGGTTATAAGAGATTAGCAGAATGCTCTTACTGACCCATCCATGATTATCTTTGAAGAGGAGAGAGTAAAATGTGTTGAGGAATCATTCCTTAGACATAAATCATGTGAGCTCCGGCTAAAAAGTAGGAATTTCAATTCATCGTACTTCCGTAGATCTATGAAAACTAGGTTGAAGTTTTTTTTTTTTTTTTTTTGACGAAAAACTAGGTTGAAGTTGAACATAGCGAGATCACTCTTAGACGAGGAAGGCATAATAGTGACAAATGTTGACGATATGAGGTAAATCACACTGAAATTTTATGAGAGACTATTGGATTTGGATCAGTCTGATTCACAAGTGCAATTAGAGAGTGTAAGGTGCTATGAGAGGCTTTTAAAGAGCAATTCAAGCTCCAATGATGCCAAACTCTTAGCCAAATAAGCTGGCAGTTGTGCTTTAAATGCTTTGATTTGACTTCGAGTGATTAGACCTTCACTTTGGGCAGCCACCTCTCGCGCCAGTGTTGGTGGTGTAATTTTTTTTTGGTGTTGATGGCCTCATCATTCCTCTCTACTTGATAAGGATTTGTCCTCAAATCTGAAATGTTTTCAAGGAAAGGAACCAAATCACAAACGTTGAAAGTAGCACTAACACTATACTCCCCTGGTATATCGAGCTTGTAAGCATTGTTGTTGACGCGTGCGAGGAATTGAAATGAACCATCACCACGAGGCACCAATCTAGAACCTCTTTGCAAGGGAATGCGTTCCTTCCTCATGTGCATACAGACCCAATCTCCTGGATCGAACCTTTGAGGTCGTCGATGCTTGTTCCCATTCCTCAAAATCGACTCATTTCACCTTTCGATGTTCAGTTGTGCCTTCTCATGCAAGTTTCAAACAGACTCTGCCTTTGAAACATCCCACTACTTTGAGACTTGAAAAAGACATTTCTACCCCGTGGTATATTTAAAAATTTCAAATAACACAATTTTAAATAAAATACCAATCTCAAATATCTTAATATCTCAAAGCGAAGCCCTAAACACGTGGGCAAAACTTAAATCATAATCTTAAGAGAAACAAAAGAAATGAGTCTCCAGTCTTTAACTCTTAACGATAAAGTCTTAATAACTTAAAAAGTTCTTCATTGCTTACTCTGACGCCTGGCTCGACATTCTTCAATGACGGTGGTGCGGAACTCCTCTAACTTGTTGGTCATGAACTGTCTGGTTACGATCCCCTCCTCTATGATCTGGTGAGTGAGTTGGGGTCAGTCTATGCCCTTACGTTAAATTCTATAGTACTTTAGTATTCTTCTCTAAATACTTGGCTTCGACTAGTGGAAGTTGTTTTGTACTTCCAGTATTAAAATCTTAACTCTTAAAATTCTTCGAGAGTTAAAGTTACTCTCCCTTCTTAAAGCTCAAATCTTGACTTAAATCTTTTGACTGACACGGGGATCCCTCACTAGCTAGTCCGGTTGGCAACTCATATGTATGAGAGCCTGTCCAGGCTTTCCTTAAACTTAAACTTATCGTGGAAGGCTCTTCTTCCACGATTCTTAAGAGCATAATTGTTGCTCATCTTAAAAGTCTCAAGAGCATAACTGTGCTCTATCTCAAAATCTCAAATGGCAACGCACTGGCGCTAGTGACTAAAATTCTTAAAAAGGTTTCACCTTCTTAAAAGTGAAGTACTCCTTAAAAGAAAGCGTGTTCTTAAAGTTCAACTTACTTATAAATAAAACACGCATTATAATATGTATAACTGGAAGCATAAATCACACGCAATCACATGCATCAAATAATCACACAAGGCAAGTATAGCACATAAGGCGTAGAATTTACCACTTTTACACTCACCTCACAAATGTTGATACTTTAACTCGTTGGACGCGGAGTCCCTTAACTCGACCGCTTCCTTAATCCTATAAATTGAGATTAATTACTCTTAGTCGTTATTCCGCTGAGTTTTTCATCCTCCTAGCTTAGTCCCCAAAATTCTTTTAGAAAGGGCCTTGAACTTCTTGAAATAATTTTCTCAAATATTGTGATTTTCCCCAAAATTTACAAAGACATTAATTACTACTGTCAACTCAAAATTCTTATAAATAAATCTAAAAAATTTCTCAAAATATTTCACTGAACTCCAAATTCTGAGTTAGAATAACTCTAAACATGACCCAAAATTATCGAGTAAAAATTTACACCATAACTAACTCCTTCTACTTACTCAATATTATCAATAAGGAATTTTAGATCTATATTAAAAACGACTAAAATTCTTGATTTTAATTTTAACACGTGCAACAAAATTCTAGTTTTGCACAAAATTAACGAACTAATAAAAATATCTCATACAGTAATTAAATAAATTAAACCCATCATCATTTTAATATTTAAAATTAATAACACGACTCCAAAAATTTCCAAAATTCTGGAAAACCATACTGGCCTCTAGCTCCCAGTAAAAATTCCAGATTTGATGAAAACACTCGCAAACTATTTTAATTTACCAAAAAACATTTTTCTAACTCTTTTTATAAATAGAAAACAGATCCAAAAATTTTCATATTAATACTCAACTATCCTCTTGATTTCATAATATTTATAAAATTATCACCTCACGAAAATACATATTGTAAAATTACTACAATAATAATAATCTTGATAAAATGTTATTTTTGGCCCATCATCACTTTTCAAAACAATAGGGACTAAGCTGTTCGAACTGATAATAAGGGGGACTAATCTAGATATTTTCTCGGAGACTGAAACAGAATTACCATCGCAGTACTTATACCTTTTGAATTTACGATATTAGTACCTGAATTATCAGATTTGCGT